CCCAGTGTGGTTTTGGAGTCTCCTTCTCGGGAGATATTCCAGACCCGCCTGGACAAGGTCCTGTGCAGCCTGCTCTGGGTGATCCTGCTTCGGCAGGGGGGTTGGACTGGGTGACCCACAGAGGTCCCTTCCAACCCCTACTATTCTGTGATTCTGTGATTGTGTGATTTAAAGCTATCTTGTCTAAATTCCCTAATATCTACGGCTGTGCCTGTCCTCCTCTAAGAAGCAGTGGGAGAATTATTTCAAATACATTTTGTATTCTTTTTATTTTGATTTCTGGTTTAGCTGTGCCTTTTACTTCAAGATTTCTGGAATGATTAGGATTCTCAGCTAAATATCTCAGTGAAGGCTGAAATTTAAAAGCTGAAACAGTCTGCCTGGCTGCAGGACCCGACTCTGCAAGCGATGAGACCAGCGCAGCCAGACTCTTCTCCGGGCAGCCCTCAGCGGTCCCCAGCGCCCGTCTGAGCTGGTGCGGAGCTTCTGTTACACAGCTGAGCGTGCGGAGCAGCTCCCCTGACAAACGAACAAATCCATTAGTGCCCTTGATGAGGATTATATGAAGTACCGCCTGGAGTGCCCAGAAAATTCTTTCCAGACTTAAGTTCCTGCGAAGAAATTAGATAAAAATCGAGGCAAAAAAATAGGATTTTTGCGTCCAAAAATTGACTGCCAGGTACTTAATAATCAGTTCCGCGGGGCTGATAATTCTGCCGTTCTTTACGTTGGAATCAGTGAGACTTTCGGGGTGATTTCAGGCAAGCAGAGGGCCACAGCCTGTAAATTTGCATCTTAGCATTTTCACTGTTGTACAGCGCGGAATGTTGGAGCTTGTGAAAATAATACTTGCCCATATGAGAAAATATTGGCTAATGTACAGCATTAATACCTTGTGTACAGTCCCTGTTGGACCAAGGGAGGTCCTGCAAACACATATATCCACATATATTTAATCAAGTAAGGGATGGGATGGTGAATGATGTGCAGCGAAAGCTATTTTGACACCTATCTCCTTGGAAACAGCGGTTAAGGAGAATTGACTTACATAATAATTTAATACTGCTAAGGTCAGTCAAATTTGCAGCCGAAAGCTTTGACTGATATTGAGGTAGTGACTCCTCACCCATCACGTTTTCAGAGGATTTATGAAGGAGGAAAGGGATTCTTGGGCCAAATGTATGCTCTTAACCTTCTCAACCCCTGCGGGAAGTGTGTCCCCCCCCTCCTTTTACTTCCTCAGCAGCTCTCCCAAAGACACGCTGCAGA